CATATTTTCAATACGTATAATATGATCTTAGATTATACGCCAGTTCTCTATACAATGGCTCAACAAATCCAAATTAAACGGGTGCTGAACATAGGCATAGCTACACATTATACATAGGTACCTTTTACATTTTTCACATTATTTTCAATCAAAAATTTTAATCAGTTTCCAGTTTGTGTTCTCGCAATCGTCACGAGGCAACTACTGTGACTTTTACTTATAGCCTTATAGGTCCTCTTTATTTAATCATGAATGTACTAATTGAAAAACATTAATAATGAATTATTTATCACATGGTTTACAACAACTCAGAAATTTTAATGAACTTTGAAGTACCAATTTTTTTTTTAGAAAACTAAAATTTGATTTTATGGTTAAATAATAAATTGCAAGCCGTGGGGACAAAAATAATAAAATACATTTTATATATTGTATACAATGTACATTGTACATACATGGTATAATATAATTTAATTAATAATATCTGATACAAATGTTATATGCAATACGTTGTAAATAGCTTTTATTTAGATCAAACCTAAAAAACAGAGCAGTAATGGTTTTTTATTTTCTACATATTATATTATCAAGCGTTTTTACTACGTATGGTTTATTGTGTTTATACTATTTTGTGCAATAGTACATTGTTGTCATACTGTAAATAATAACATAATAAATGCCATGTATGCCAGATTATATAGACATATAGGATTTATTAAAACGAATCTAATAGGATTCGATAATGTACATTGCCTAACAACTTTGTTCCGTGCATTAATTTGCTACATACCAATTGCATTCCCAAAATGAAAATTGCAATAAATGACTTATGAATTACGTCCCGGGTTTTCTATATGGCTATATTAATTGTGTCTCTTTATTTGATATCAGAATTTAGAATATAATATGTTTAGCTAAATAAATAATCGATTTGAGTATTATGACTAATATCTATCGAAGAATACTTTGAAACTTATGAAATAAATATATACGGCGGTTAGTAGTAAGTGTATCAATTGTGTGTTGTTAACTATCTTGTGCTGTTCTGTTTTTAAAAATAATTAAAAAATGATATACACTGTTGAATGTGTTGAAAAAAAAAATGTAAATCATACCATTAAGTCAAATAATAAAAATGAAAATTTAAACATACTAGTGAGCATAACCATGCAAGTTATTCTGTTGAAATATTAAACAGACAAAAATTAAGCAATAATTTAAAACACAGGGCAATAGACAATCTCTATGATAAGCCATCAAAACTAATTCATAAGAAATTACAAATGACGTAGTTATCAACATCGACATCGGACGCAATAAATTGATATTGCTATACAAATTTTGTAGGACGCAATACGTGTAACTATTATAAATATTATTGCGATGCAATTTGTATGTAAAAGGGATTTTGGGACGTAATATTCGTTTGCTGCGAATTAATTAGGCCTGATCTCAAATTCAGGTTAGTTTGAAACCTTAAACAAATTGGTCAAATAAAAAAAATTAAAAAAAAGTGTAACGATGTTTCCTTCGTATGATAGCTCATACAATTAAATTGTTTAGCCGTATCATTTTTTAGGCGCAACGTCATTGCAATATGATTTCATTGAAGTCTAGAGTCTAGACGACATTTTATAGATGTGTTTTTTATGTATACACTTTTGAATGGTAGCGTTAATAATCTGAATTTATTTCCAACTACGTAATTTAATGGTCTTCAAATTAAAATCTAACATTTTCGTTTTTTTAGTATTAAACCACAAACAGAAACCTCCGTTCTGTGTAGAATAACATGTAAAGATTAAAAGATTTTTTTATTTTTTATAAGTAACAACTCAAAACTATAACCCTGCATCCTAAATTTATAATATAATATTGATTAATTAATTTATGTTGTATAATTATATTTGCTGAATATTATGTGTATATCTCAGCTTCATATTTCACTATAAATATTTTACTTACTTTTACTTCCTGTGGTCGTAAATTATTTATTAAATAAATAATGTATTGTTATAGTTTAAGTTGAT